CCAAGCATAGTTGAGAGGGTGGAGCAATCAGGCAGTCTCTAAGGCCAGAGTTACAGCCTGATTAGCTGTTAAAAATTGGAGGGAAAAGCTCAATGGATGAAGATGGGTGGAGCCAGAGCTGAAGCAAGAAGACAGTGGACATTTTTAGTGTGAGTTAGTTAGGGTGTGGAGAGTGAAGAGGAAGGACGTGTAGTGGTGAAGGGAGTAGGAAGAGTGAATTGGCAATTGCTTGTGGTTTTAATAGTTGCCACTTTGAGGAACTATAGTTAATAAGCCCCTAAAGTTTAGAATGCTGTGAAGGAAGGGAGCTTTTAAGAATTTTTTTAAAAATGATTCCTGTTTAAAGTTGTATGTGTGGAACCTATTTTAAAGCAATTCAATTTTAAATTAACATCTCTGTAACCAAGAAGAGTCTGATAAGATATTTTGCAACCATTACGCTTACGGTCTATTCAAAATAAACAATATTTTCCTGTTTTAATTCCAACTGAAGATTCCGGGTGCCTTTCATAGAATCAAAGAGTTGGAAGAGACCTCATGGGCCATCCAGTCCAACCTCCTGCCAAGAAGCAGGAATATTGTATTCAAATCACCCCTGACAGATGGCCATCCAGCCTCTGTTTAAAAGCTTCCAAAAGGAGCCTCCACCACACTCCGGGGCAGAGAGTTCCACTGCTGAACGGCTCTCACAGTCAGGAAGTTCTTCCTCATGTTCAGATGGAATCTCCTCTCTTGTAGTTTGAAGCCATTGTTCCGCGTCCTAGTCTCCAAGGAAGCAGAAAACAAGCTTGCTCCCTCCTCCCTGTGGCTTCCTCTCACATATTTATACATGGCTATCATATCTCCTCTCAGCCTTCTCTTCTTCATGCTAAACATGCCCAGCTCAAGCCGCTCCTCATAGGGCTTGTTCTCCAGACCCTTGATCATTTTAGTCGCCCTCCTCTGGACACATTCCAGCTTGTCAATATCTCTCTTGAATTGTGGTGCCCAGAATTGGACACAATATTCCAGGTGTGGTCTAACCAAAGCAGAATAGAGGGGTAGCATTACTTCCCTAGATCTAGGCACTATGCTCCTATTGATGCAGGCCAAAATCCCATTGGCTTTTTTTTGCCGCCACATCACATTGTTGGCTCATGTTTAACTTGTTGTCCACGAGGACTCCAAGATCTTTTTCACACGTACTGCTCTGAAGCCAGGCATTGTCCCCCATTGTATCTTTGCATTTTATTTTTTCTGCCAAAGTGGAGTATCTTGCATTTGTCACTGTTGAACTTCATTTTGTTAGTTTTGGCCCATCTCTCTAATCTGTCAAGATCGTTTTGAATTCTGCTCCTGTCCTCTGGACTATTGGCTATCCCTCCCAATTTGGTGTCGTCTGCAAACTTGATGATCATGCCTTCTAGCCCTTTGTCTAAGTCATTAATAAAGATGTTGAACAGGACCGGGCCCAGGACAGAACCCTGCGGCACTCCACTTGTCACTTCTTCCCAAGATGAAGAGGAAGCATTGGTGAGCACCAATGCTTTTTCTTTCATATATTTTAATAAAAGAAGTATCCTGTGGACAACAAGTTAATCATGAGCCAACAATGTGATGTGGTGGCAAAAAAAACAACCAATAGGATTTTGGCCTACATCAATAGGAGCATAGTGTCTAGATCCATGGAAATAATGCTACCCCTCTATTCCGCCTTGTTTAGACCACACCTGGAATATTGTGTCCAGAGGAGGGCAACTAAAATGATCAAGGGTCTGGAGAACAAGCCCTATGAGGAGTGGCTTAAGGATCTGGGCATGTTTAGCCTGAAGAAGAGAAGGCTGAGAGGAGATGTGATAGCCATGTATAAATATGTGAGAGGAAGCCACAGGGAGGAGGGAGCAAGCTTGTTTTCTGCTTCCCTGAAGACTAGGACGCAGAACAATGGCTTCAAACTACAAGAAAGGAGATTCCATCTGAACATTAGGAAGAACTTATTGACTGTGAGAGCCGTTCAGCAGTGGAACTCTCTGCCCCGGAGTGTGGTGGAGGCTTCTTCTTTGGAGGTTTTAAAACAGAGGCTAGATGGCCATCTGTCAGGGGTGCTTCGAATGCAATAGTCCTGCTTCTTGGCAGGGGGTTGGACTGGATTCTGTGACTGTGGGATGGGGCACCTGGTCAGGTGGATGGAATACCAATAGACCACTGCAACTCCTTCTCCCTGCCCCCAGGGTCTTGCCTGCTGCTACACACTGAAACCTAGTAGACAAATTTGGGAGAGATTTACCCCCTCCTTCGTTCGGCAAAATCTCAGTTATGCAAGCCAGGTTGGCATACTTATCCAATATTAAATCTTGGATGACAATTGTTTTTCCATTCACCAACCTAGCATTAAGCAACAGGACTTTTAGCACGTAACTTTGGTTACCTAGACTATTCATGGGGGGAGGCAAATCGGGGGCCATGAGAATGTTCTCGCGATTCCCGAGCTGCCTTCTCTTCTCACATGTCCTATAGCTCTGGAGCACTGAAATAGAAAATATCTAACCTGGATCTCCCACCTGCCCCACAGTATACCTTGCTGCTTCTTCAATATTACCTAGCTGCTAAGATGTTAGATTTCTATATTGCACAATACCACCATTAAAATAGAACTCTAAAATAGGACATATGCATTCTAGAGCATATTACTTATTTAGTAATGAAGTAACAACATACCCCCACCACCCAACCTCCCTCTCCAAACATCACCTTAACTTCCATAATCCCCCTTCCTAATCATCAGACCCCGTAGGTCAACTGTTTGTGGGGTACAGTTTGGCAGAGTGATATAGTCCTAGGTCTTTGAGGGAGGTGATAGATATTGATATATTTACCTTATTTATACCACACCTTTCTCTTTCCCAAAAGGGACTAGTACATTTGGTGAAAGTCCTATAACAAAGAGATCTTATTAATTGTGGTGTCATGAGTGGGTTGAGCAAGAAGAGAAATCCCAAACCCCAAGTCTGCCCAGCCCAGAAACTCACAGTATTAAGTCACCTGCCGGCAAGGAGGTGGCTGAATCCCACTCACTTACTGCTTCATAAAGAGAATTGGCGAAAAAAGCTTCAGAAGGGCAAAGGGACTTCCGGTTTCCTTAAAAACTTCGAAATCACTTCAAAAAGCAAATCTTTCAGAATTTATTTTGAATTAAGAAGATTCCGACCAAACCTAACCATGCCTACTAAACACCATGCAGGCTTCTTGGAAATGATTTTCCCTGTAGTGGGTTTGCTCAATGGATGGAACAAAACTGCATTAGTTACACTAGGAAAATGACTACCTTACTAATTTGCTGTGTCTGTTTCTCCATCTCTTTTTAATGTTTAAATAAGAAGCGCATACCTTGTTGGTCATATTGCATAGTTTGTTTTCCAAATATTTCCTTTAAGCATAATTCTATTATTAAGATGCACTTGGTCTAAAACAAAAGGGTAAGATTTGGAAGTGCAACTATGAAGGAACTAAGCAAGATCCTGAAACCTAATCACAATATAGGATAGCATTTTTGAAACCTAATCACAATATAGGATAGCATTTTCTGTGCAGGAAAAATCTTCTCCATGCAGATATATTGTGTTATGTGCATAAAAAGTTGTTTTCAATTTTTTTCCTTCCCTCGCTGAGTTTGCAAGACCTTATAGAACAATTTATCCACTTAGTCATAACTGGAAGTAAAATGCAAAAATAACAGTAACACTGCAGTAAACATCTTTTTAATGGTTTTGAAATAAACTTAAGATGCTTTTGAAATAAAAACTGTCTGCCGGATTCCTTATTAATATGTTTTAATTTGATTATGTAAAGTACAATACAAAAACATGAAATTCTAAAAGCCAGCCAATTTCTCCTTTTTGAAAAACAGAAATCTTTGTAAAACACCACAATCTCTTCCACTAGATGGCAGTGACTTGATATGGAACATAAATACTTGCAGCAAGTTCCTTTTTACAAGTCTGTTTTATACTGACATTTTATCCCTAAGTACAATGGCACTCCCTGCAGTCATGCCAGCCACATGACCTTGGAGGCATCTCGGACAAGCCGACAAGCTGGCTCTTCAGAAATGGAGATGAGCACCTTCTCCCAGAGTCAGACTGGACTAAACTTAATGTCAAGGGGAAACCTTTGCTTTTGCCTTCAACCAAATATCCTTGTTGTTAGCTATTAACAAGATAGAGAAATGCAAATAGTTTGAACTGTTAACATAGGGGTGACTGCTAATTGGTTTATTAGTAAATTTCTGAATATTTCTGTTCATCAATGTGCAAACAGTTTTTGATGTCATGGTCAATTTTCACTCTGCATTACTGTTGTTCTTCAGGGAAATAGGGCTATTGTTTGTCTCCCTACCTGGTAAAAAGACCTTAGGGTAACATAAACACATACTATTCTTTTTCCCTCCTCATCTAACATAGTTCTCTTTCCTGAATTAAGAAATGTTTTAATTAAATAGTTTGGTTGACAGACCAACAGATTGACAGAGATGCAGAGAACTTCTGGGGCATTGTTACAGAAAAAGCTTCAATCACACTGTGTTGTTTAATAATGTTTTTCTGATGTATTGGTATGAGGATAAGACAACATGAGAATTAGAAGCCTGATTCCACAAATTGTAGGTACTATCCTCCTATGTTTGTTTTTTGGAACTGCAAAAGATTCTAGTTCCCTAGTATTGATACTTGATCTTTTGCCATTATTGTAACCTGCAGAATATATTTTGGGCACTTATTATGAATGATACTATGTATTTTGCTTCTATTGAAAATATTGAAAGAAAAGTCCTACTTAGGTATACTACCTAATGATGGGATTTCGGGAACATTATAATAGTGTAGACAATGTATCTTAAAGGTGAAGAGAACATGATAATCTATTGGTGAAAAACTGGTCCAGGTATTTGATACTCATGCTGTTTTGGCTTTAAATGATGACTATTACATGACAAAACTGACTCAATTTTTAATTTTTTTTCCTAGGTCCGTGTCTTTACATTTTCTGTTGGTCAGCACAATTATGACAAGGGACCCATACAATGGATGGCCTGTGCAAATAAAGGTACTGTCAATCTGTGGTACTTTTTTTATCATGACACTACATTCCAGTGCCATCTAGATTTTATCTTTTGTTTTAGACCAAATGAGAAATTAATCTGAAGAGGTGCTGGGAAAATGGATACACTTGAATTATGGATGAGAACATTTCCAGTGGTTCCATTCCTCTATTGTTCCTCTGGTTCTCTCTTCCTTGCATTTCATGTGTCTTCATTTCTGGAGAATTGAAGCTATATTCATGTACTGTATTCCCCAGGTAAAGCAAAGAGCAGGACCACATGGCTATCCCTTTATTTATTTATTTATTTATTTAACACATTTGTACCCCATCCTTCTCACCCCCAGAGGGAGACTCAGGGAGGCTTCACAACAGTAAGGCTTCCCCTTATTCTTACATCTTTGGAGTAGCTTTTTCCACCCAATTGCACAAGCTTCCTCATTCTGTGTAATTCTTTGGGCATGAGAAAGTGTTCACACATAGAGGTTTCCTTGCAGCTGTCTACATTGTATGAATTTTGCTGTGTGGGGCTATTATGAGATGTATAGCAATGTTGGGATGGTATCAATAGCATAAATGTGGAAAATGTATACACAGGGTCATGGGGCATTTCCCAACAGTTGTAGAATTGGAGCCAAGCCTTTTGGTATGTTCTAATAATAAAATGAGTATTTTCACATTGCAGCATAATTGCATCTTAGGACCCTTCCACAAACTCTATATCCCAGAATATTGAGGCAGAAAATCCATCCCACAATATCTGCTTTGATCTGGGTTATCTCAGTCCACACTCAGATAATGTGAGATTTTCTGCGTTGATATTCTGGTATATAGGGCTGTGTGGAAGGGCCCTTAGACTTTGGCTTTGAGATTTAGGCATTGGCTTTCTTCTTTGGTGCTTTAGGGTAGAAAGTTACATCTCAGCCATGAGCTACTTTCGTACATCCATGGACTTGATGCTTTATTCTAAGTGTGAGAGCTGATACCTTTGCTTGTAGTGACAATTTGCATATGTAATTTGAACATGTACTATAACAGCTGCAGTTATATAATTTGCATGTGTGCTATAATAACCAGTTATATAAATAGGCAGTACAAAGGAATAATCAATACATGTTTGGCAATTTCCTGGATAGAGAAGCAAATTTGCCTTGTTCACATGCTGCCTTCCCACATGCTTCTCACATTCTTCTGGAAGTTACTACAGATATTTTAAAGTATTTTTATCAATTTTGTTGATAATTTGAGCGTGATGAAGTAGAATATAGAAATAGACAAAAGAAATAAAATGCTATGACCATCTGTGCAAAATATTAAGGATAAAGGAAAATAAGACACTGGAGAACCCTGCTTCTTAAACCTTGGGTTCCGACCTCAAATTGAGTCCTCTTACCTCAATATTTGGGTCCTCAAAAATTTGGCAACATAAAATGTTTTCTGAACATCATATAGTGCCTACTTTAGCCATGTATATGAATCTGTTGTGCAGTGTTTACAGTGGACTCTGCAGAAGATGCTTCAGCTCTACTTCATAAAAAGGAAACTCATCCTGTTTAGCAAACTTTGAAAATGATGATTTGTTATCAATAAATATTTGCTTTTTATACCTATTTTGTATAACTGGGGTCACAAAAAAATTCTTAGACCAAAATGGGGTGTCAAGTGGAAAAGTTGATGAAGCTCTGCTTTAGAGTACTGTTTTTTCCCTATTTTAGAGGCCACACCAGATAATAGAGAGAAATGTGAATATTGATTCTTTTTAAGTGCCCCTCTGAGTTTACTGGCCTGTATCCCACCCTATAACATCTCAGCTAAAAACTATACAGCTAATTAAACAATGCAGCATTTAACAATGGTGAGTTGTTTAAACGGACTAAAAGAATAGTCCGTTTAAATATTAAAACAATTAAAACAAATTGAAACAATTTATGAACTCCAAAGATTCAGAAAAGGAGAATTCTAAAGTCCTTGACAGACTTCAGAATCACATGTATTATGCATGCCATGCAACTCGCTTTCCTGTAGTAGCATACCAGACCCCTGTCCATTAGGCCTGGTTGATCAAGAAAAAATTTGGTTCTAAAATCGATTTGTAATTGGGGTGTTTTTTAGTTTCGATATTGTGTATATACACATACATACATACTGGTTGATCAAGAAAAAATTTGGTTCTAAAATCGATTTGTAATTGGGGTGTTTTTTTGTTTTGATATTTAAAATAATTACAAAATTTTCCCCCAAAAAAGTTTTGGTATTTACGGAATTTCGTAAATATTAACGAATTTTTTAGAATATTTTTTGTATTTTTTAAGAATAATATTAAAATAATATTAAAAAATATTTAAAAATGGAAAATTACCAAAAAATGGCCCAAATGTGGACCAAACACAGGCAGGAGACAGCAAATGAGAGCACACACCAACAGAAGAGTCTTTTATTTTTTAGAATATTTTTTAAGAATAATATTAAAATAATATTAAAAAATAATATTAAAAAATAATATTAAAAAATATTTTAAAATGGAAAATTAACCAAAAAATTAAGAAACAAATTCACAAAAACCGAAGTAAGCAGCACTCACAGCAGCAAGGAATGAATCCAATCCAGTTGCTAGCCAAGCCAAGCCAACCCAATGCAAACCCTCCCGGACCTCTTCTCTCTCCCTCGCCCTCTGCAGCAATGAGCTACGGCCGCGCGGAGCCGCTTTGAAAGGGCTCGCCGGCCAATCAAAAACAAACAGCCACGGTGCACTGCTTGGGAGCGCCGGATTGGCTCCCAGGCCCCAGCACTCCAGCAGCCTCCCCCATTAACGAAACGAGCGGAAGCTCGTTAAATCTTTGGGGGTTGCCGGTTCGATATTTTAAAGCCCTTCCGGGTTTGGAAATGTGTTTTGATATCGCTTCGGAAATGCTAAAAATAACGAATTAATAACGAATTAACGAATTAACGAACGAAACCGCACAGGCCTACTGTCCATTACAGTTTTGGTCTTACTATTAGATGGAGGGAGCTGGCATCTATTGTCAACTCCCTGTTCTGCCCGTTGTAATCTACTTTACTATCCATGGACAATCTGCAGGATCCTGTCCTATCAGATACATGAAGGGGACAATCTGTCCTTTACCTTAAGCCTTACCTTTTAGGAAGCTCTTGATTTTTAATATCCTTCCCAGCTGGAGGACACCAGTGCTGGTATAGTTCTAAGTGTTACACTCTTTCAAGTGCTATCATGGAGAGGATAAAATTGCAGTCAGGCTGCAAATTCTGTTTTATGTTTTATTTTTCAGGTTACTACTATGAAATCCCTTCCATTGGTGCCATAAGAATAAACACACAGGTACTTTATAAAATTTATGAAACAGCAATCAGACTCCAAAGTCAAGCCTACTGAATAGAACTCCTCTGTAGGAATTGTCCTTAGACAGATCACATGGATGAGACTTTTCAGAAAATACGTTTATGTCTTTGATGAATTATTCCAGTAAAGTAAAATAGTATAAAATAAAGTTGTCCTTGGCAGATTTCACCAAGTAGTGTCTGGCTAGCCAAACCTCGTGAGAAGATCAGACACTACAATTGTAGTAGTTCTAGTCTTGAATTCCCTGTCCTGCATATCAATTAATAGATTCATCTTCTACTGTTCATTGGCACTCTAATACTTTTCAGAAACCTTTCAAACCCATGAAATATTGTTATGCAATATAAATTATACTACGTTGTTAAGCATGTATTGGGTCGTTTTTTTTGTCGTGTCAGGAGCGACTTGAGAAACTGCAAGTCGCTTCTGGTGTGAGAGAATTGGCCGTCTGCAAGGACGTTGCCCAGGGGATGCCCGGATGATTTGATGTTTTTATCATCCTTGTGGAAGGCTTCTCTCATGTCCCCGCATGAGGAGCTGGAGCTGATAGAGGGAGCTCATCTGCCTCTCCCCGGATTCGAACCTGCGACCTGTCGGTCTTCAGGCCTGCCAACACAGGGGTTTAACCCACTGCACCACCAGGGGTGAAAATATACTTTATTTTGTCTCTTGTGAGATATTTTTTTTAAAGTGATCTGGAAGACACTTTTCTGTGGATTCAACACACATCGCTCCTGTAGCATATGAAAGCCCGCTATCTTTGGCCAGAAGAAGGTGTGGGTGATAATCACAGCATGAGGAATCATGTGTCCTCTAGCCAGCATTATTGTATAACCTACCTAAGAACATAACATATACCTATCCTTTTTTTGCAAATCATAAAACTCTTACATCCCAAAGGAGAAATCATGTCTCTAGACCATTGATTTGCATACTTTAAAGTACACATTCCCTCAGGGGACTAAATACAAGGGGCATAATGTTTTAGATTTGCATCAGATCATATCAAGTCAGACATTCTTTTCTTCCAGCAGTACATGCAGACACTGCAATCTCAAATGTTTATGCTTAAACTTCATTGTCTGCTCATGAAGGGAACAAGCTTTCGATGGGTGAATAACTCGGGACTATGTCGGTTCTCGTTTTTATTGTATTTTAAAGTTGGTTGTATTGTTTTAATCTACTGCTGTAAACCGCTCCGAGCCAAATTGGGAGTGGTGGTATACAAGTCAAATAAATAAATAAATAAAATATCTGTTTTAATGATATAATCAAGTGCTGATTTTGGGCCAGTGCTTTTTTTTTAGACTGCTAGCACTGGGATGCATATGTTCATTGATTTAGGCAATGGTTTATTGATGGGGAGGATTAAGGGGTAGAATACATTCAGGGGAGGCATGACATGAAAATGTTTGAGATATCTTAACTTAAGAGTATTATGTAGTTCTAGCAGCCTTTGGCCAAATTTCAAAGATCCTCTGGAAGTTGCTCAAATTTGATTTGATTTGGCTGGTTAATTTCCAACCACCCCAGTAGCTTATAGTGTAAGTTAAAAGAAAAGTTGAAAAGAAAATTCCTCTCGCAAGATTAAGAGAGTTAAACATATTCCACATCCACTTTTGGTTCTGTCCTGTCAACCACTTGCTTTAGCCCTGTTCTCTTTACATGTGGCCCCATCATATTAACATCTAGGGGATCTCTGATGGCACTCAGTTGTGTGGTGGTGGAGGCACAAGAGACTTCTTGGGAATTCCAGGCTAGCACAATTTTTACTGTTGGTTTGTAAAACATTATGCCTCAACTGAATTGAGGTTTTCCACCTGAATTTCTGATAGGGTTTACAAAATAGCAGCATACTATTTCTTAATGATGACCAGCTAACTCCATGTTTATTTTCTCTGACAGGAATACTTGGATGTTTTAGGGAGACCCATGGTTTTGGCTGGAAAAAAAGCTAAACAAGTCCAGTGGACCAATGTTTACTTGGATGCACTGGTATGATTCACACTAGCATGTTTTAAGTATATTTTTAATATGAAGTTTTTCTGTAAAAAAAATTGCTCAAATGTAGCCATAGAAAAAATAGTCAGGATAATATTGTTTATTATGCAAAAACTAGCAGACCTTCAAACATTCTAAAGGATAAGCTGAAAATCTGAACGTTTCTCAAGGCAAAGACTTCAAGGAAAGCAAAAGTGAGGAAAAACTTGAGGGATTTGAAAAGTTTCGTCTATTGTAAAACCTGGAAAAAACAGACAGTGCCCATGTTACTGCAGATTCAGGAAATTATAGTCTAACTAAGTAAATTTTCCCAGTTTTGGACTAGAGAAAATAAGAATATGTGAGGTTTTGTCTCTCCCTATTTTCTAGCACTTAAAAGAGTCTCAAAGAAAAAAAGGAAACCATCCCTGAGAGACTGGAAAGACATCAATGGTGTTCAGTTGAATTACTAAGAGGCATATTAGGCTTTTGAAAACAATCAAACAATGGAATTGTAGGACTGTTTTCTGAAAGTCTGGAGAGGAGCCATTGGGATACTTTTGTCCTCAGATATTACCATCTTGGATTAGCTGATAGATTAAATAATATGCTCTTCCTGGTCCTGGTAATGAATTGTACACCTAGGTATGCATGCATATGTTTGTCTGTGCTTGTGTGTTTCTTTCAGGGTTTTTAAGGAGTCTTATATATCTACATTCAAATGTCTTGATCTTAAATTACATCAAGATTCAACTCTGCTTGTGTCTGTAAAGTAATTGAGCCTAACACATTTGCAACAAAATCTTGGAAATGTGTTTTGTATTTTATAAGCCACAACATGAAATATAAGCAGGGAAAAGGTTCATGAACAGTACAGCAGATTGCATTTCCATCCCTACATCATTTTGTACAGAGACCTCTTGATATGGGACTAGAGTGAGAGGCTTCTAGATCAGAGGAATTTCGTTCTTTTTCTAGAATTTGAACATTGATTTTAAGAAGTGTTCTCATCAAAGTGTGCCATATTCCTCTGCTTTGGCCTCACATGAAGAAGCAGATGAAACCTCCTAATTGCTAAGTGATTTGACTAAACATTATGGACATTATGATATTACACCTGACATTAGTAACCCTGTTTTCATCTAATGCCTGGACAGAGTTTGGGTCAAGAAATTGGGGTTAAGACATCACATCACAAGCTTTTTAGCTCATTGCCAAAAACATATACAATAGAGATATGTGCAAGTAACTATAAACTACATGTATTCAGTATTGTTATCCAAAATGTTTCTACAATACTTGGAGATAACCTTGATAAGCACATTTCAACACCCCCAGAGGTTACTGTAATATGTGTGTGTACATACACTTGTTTCCATACAACCAAACAGAGTGCTGACATTTCCCGTTATGATTACAATGTAATATTTCTTGCTTTCAAAGAAAATGTATTAAGTCTGTTATATCCCTGTCAAAGTGGCTGAGTCCCTTTCTATCATTATAGTTCCAGTGTTCCCAAGTTCAGTGACCACCCATTCTTGGTTGCTGATGAAATACTTACTGGAAATGTCACCGAGAAAGTTCATATCTTCCTACACATCCTGTTCTCAGACAGCAGCACTAAAGCAAGAATATGCAAGGAGAGGAAAAAAGCTCTGGTTTAGGCAGATAAATCAAACTAAAGCAAAGAATTGTGTAACTATTGTGCTTTTTAATTATGCAAACATAAATAAAAGGAATCTGAACTTATTTTGTATATTTTTAAAGAATTACATAAATATGGGCATAAAGGGGATATCAAGAAATCTTATTCATACCACCCAATTTTGTAGATGTGACAAAGATATAGCAACATATATTCTGCTCTACTAGCAATTAAATTAATTTACTTTTCTTCCTTATTCATGCATCACAGAAGAGGATCCAGGGCTACTGAAAATATTTTTTGAACCAACTCAGTTTAATGGGCCCTTGGTAGCCCATTACTGTGCCATTTTACTATAATGGATTTGAGCATTCACAGATTTTGGTATCCACAATCTGTGAATATCCTTGATTGGTATCCTTAATTTCAGGGCCATTTGTGGATATCAGCATCTGTGAATGCTCAAATCCATTATAGTAAAATGGCACAGTAAAATGGAGTTCCTTATAGAAAATGGCTAAATTTTTACCTTTGGGTTTTAAAAAAAGTGTTTTCAAGCAGTGAATTATTGAATCCATGGGCAATTGAATCTGTGAATATGGAGGGCCACCACTGTGCTGTCAACCTGCCTGTTTCCAACCTTACATGTGCCATATATAGTCATGTAAAAGTTGACCTCATGTATATGTCAAGAGCAGGTTTGGAACCCAAAATTAGTGGTTTTCATATGACCCATGAATAAATTAAATGGTCCATGAGAAATGCAGTGCCACCTCAGTGCCAGCTGACTGCTGTCCCCTTTTTCCATCTAGTCATTCAAAAAGACCTTTCACCACTACACAGAGAAGGGGGTGGTTCCTGTTTTGATAACAGTTAAAGTACAGTTTTAACTCTTTTTAAAAACTGAACCATCAAAATGTGAGAGCTTACTCCATCTCAGAAGAACCTGTATTCTCTAAGAAATCACCAAAGAGCTGCCACCATCATTTTCCCACCCATGAATTCCGAAAGGCAGAACCACAATGGTGAGAATAGAAGATTTCTGTACTTCTTTTGGGTTCTCCTGGGATGGACTAAGTTCTTTCCTTTCACTGCTCTACTTATTTTAAAATAAGAGTTACATTGATTCCTGATTAAGTCAACTCTGATTTTTGAACTCAATCTTTTGGATGGAAGTTTTTAGACTTATACAAGAATATGTACAATGCATTACAGTTCTACCCAAAGCAAATTCCCTCACTTAGCCTAGATATGCTTCAGGAGTGCAAGACAAATGCAAGAGTTCAGTGTCACCAGAGCTGAGTTTAAGCCTCAAGGACATATTAAAGCATCACACCAATAATAGTAGTAGTAGTAATAATAGTAGTAGTAATACCTTATTTATATTCCACCTTACTTCAGTGGAGGGATTTAGGGCGGAATCCAAACATGAAAGGCAAACATTTAATGTCCAAACATAACAACAATAATAATGAAAATTGACAATCCAACATATAAAAACAAATTATGCCTTAAAAACTACAATTAAATTTTTAAAACACAACCTGTTATATGAGACATAAGACAAAACAACAAACATCAAACAGAAACATCAGTTTCCCAGTTCCTTGGGGGCAAATAGAGTGATCATTGCTCAAGATGTCTATTGAGCTGAAGGAGTGAACATGGCATGGATATGGATGGTAGCTTTTAATCAGAGGTATAATTATAGTATTACCATCTCCTCCTCCTCATAGGCCAGTGAGCAAAGATATATCTTCAGCTGTTCCTTGAAGGTGGGAAGCGGGAATCTTTAACTCCTTAAGGAGAGAGTTCCAGTGGTGGGAGGGCGGCCACAGAGAAGGCCCTTTCTCTCAGTCCCACCAGCCATACTTGGGATGGGAGTGACGGCGCGCGCGAACTCATACACTCAGTAACCTATACTTCCACCCCTGCATACAGACAACATCAAACACACACCAAGAGGAGGTCATTAGCAACCTCCAGATGGAACAAACACGAAAACTTCCCATCTCATGCACAAGCTGTGGCATGTTCAGCTTTTTCACACTACAATTACTCAATTACATCTGCCCCAAGTGTACACAGATCACTCGCATGGAACACAGGATACGACAACTCGAGGACCGTATTAACACCCTTAAGGACATTCAGGAACTTGAGCTGTTCTTAGACACCACACACCACACTGTCCTAGACACGCAGCCCATATCACACCAACATTACGAGGAGGCTCAACAGAACAGCACCTCAGATGTGACAACCCTCAGGCTTGGAGAAATGTCACCCTTAGAAGGACACATAGGACCCGGAAGCCTCCTCAGAATACTTCCGCTCAGCTGCAGTTACACAATAGATTCCAAATTCTCACACAACTATCACCTGACCAAGAAACACAACATATTGGGGAAGACCAGAATGGCTTAGATACTGATCAGTGGCTCATCCTTGATCAGTGTGCGGGGGATAGCCCTGACTGGGACAACACTTCACAACATTCACACTTGCACAATCCTGCAGGTGTACCATCCCCAACCATAGACCAGGAGCAACAGGAACACATACAGGAGAACCATAGGCTCTTGGACGAATCTCAATGGATTGTCCTTGACGAATGCACCGGGGATGTCGAGGAGGAGGACAACACTTTTCACCTACACAATTCATACCAACACGATCACTTTTCTGGAGACCTACACACTACATTGCACAAAAGGGGCCCTGTCATTCCCGAAAGTAAACAGGTCTTGGTAGTAGGCGACTCCCTCCTTAGAGGAACGGAAGCTGTCATTTCCAGACCAGATGGGATGGCTCGAGAAATATGCTGCCTACCGGGGGCAAAAATACACTATCACTCAGAGGCTCACCAGGCTCCTCAAGCCCTATCACCGTCCTCCCCTCATGTTGATTCATGTAGGAACCAATGATACTGCAAGGCATACGTTTCAAAAGATCACAAATGATTTTCGAGCTCTAGGAGCAAAGCTAAAAGAATGTAATGTACAGGTGGTCTTTTCATCCCTCCTCCCTGTTGTAAGACACGGACCCACAAGAGCCAGAAAAATAGTACAGGTCAATGACTGGCTTAGAAAATGGTGTCAGGAGGAACGCTTTGGCTTCCTCGACCATGGCCTGCTTTTCCAGGAGGATGGCCTACTGGCAAGGGATGGGGTGCATCTCACACAAGTAGGAAAACACCTTTTTGCTCACAGACTCGCAAACCTCATTAGACGCACTTTAAACTAGGTCCACCGGGGGAGGGGGACAACAGCCTTGCGAACACTACTTTACCCATAATGTCTGGGAATCGCCAGAAGGCTAAACGGAGGGCTGCACAAACACAACAAGGACCAAGTACCAAAAGCACAATAATCCCAATTAAACAGCTCAAGGGAAGATCTCAGGGGCTCACATGTCTTTACACTAATGCACAGAGCATGGGAAATAAACAAGACGAACTCCAACTTTTAGCACAACACCACAAATATGATATCATAGGGATCACTGAAACCTGGTGGGATGACTCCTATCGCTGGAATGTAGATATCGAGGGGTATAACCTCTTTCACAGAAACCGAACAAAGGGGAGAGGAGGTGGAGTAGCCTTATATGTCAAAACTCTTATGCTGCAGAAGAGATTCAAGACAGCAATCTGGGAAACCAGCTTGAAATCATCTGGATAAGAATCAAGGGAACTGGGACTCAAAAAGATGTCGTTGTAGGCGTCTACTACAGACCCCCAAGCCAGGAGGAAGAACTTGATGAGTCTTCTGCCAACAGTTGACCAAACAGGCACAGAGAAGAGATGTAGTAGTCATGGGCGATTTCAACTATCCCGATATTTGCTGGAAAACAAACTCGGCCAAGAGTACAAGGTCCAACAAATTCCTCGCTTGCCTTGCAGACAATTTCATGGTCCAGAAGGTAGAAGAGGCAACAAGGGTATTGGCTACTCTTGATCTCATCCTAACAAATGCGGAGGACCTGATCGATGCGGTCGAAGTGGTAGGATCCTTAGGGGCAAGTGACCATGTGCTCCTGCAATTTGAGGTACAAAGGAAGGCCGAAACTAAGACAAGTCAAACCCGCATTTTGGACTTTAGGAGAGCTGATTTCCAAAAAATGAAGGAAACACTGAGCAGCATTCCGTGGACACAGATACTAAAAGACAAGGGAGTTACGGATGGATGGGAATTTCTCAAGAGTGAAATACTCAAGGCGCAATTGCAAACCGTGCCAACAAAGACAAAAAATAGGACAAGTGCAAAGAAGCCAGAATGGATGTCCAAAGAACTTCTAACTGTGCTAAGACACAAAAGAGACATGCACAAGAAGTGGAAAAAGGGAGAAATCACCAAAGAAGAATTCAAACAAATAGCCAACACCTGTAGGGAAAAGGTCCGCAAGGCTAAAGCAAAAAACGAGCTCAGACTTGCCAGGGACATTAAAAACAATAAAAAGGGCTTCTATTCTTATGTCAGTAGAAAAAGGAAAAACAAGGAGGCGATAGGACCTCTTCGAGGAGAAGATTGGGCAATGCTGACAGGGGATAGGGAAAAGGCAGAACTACTTAATGCCTTCTTTGCCTCGGTCTTCTCACAAAAAGAGAGTCTTCAACCTCAGCAAGATGGAGTGGATGAGGGATTGGAGACATCCAACCCCAAATTAGGAAAGAAGTCGTCCAGGAATACCTGGCCGCTCTTAATGAGTTCAAGTCCCCAGGGCCAGATCAACTACACCCCAGAGTATTGAAGGAACTAGCGGAAGTCATTTCGGAACCATTGGCAACCATCTTTGAGAGTTCTTGGAGAACGGGAGAAGTTCCAGCAGATTGGAGGAGGGCCAATGTGGTCCCAATCTTCAAGAAGGTAAAAAAGGATGACCCAAACAACTACCGTCCGGTCAGCCTCACGTCGATACCAGGCAAGATTCTGGAAAAGATTGTTAAGGAAGCGGTCTGCAAACACTTAGAAACAAATGCAGGTCATCGCTAATAGTCAACATGGATTTATCAAAAACAAGTCATGCCAGACTAATCTGATCTCTTTTTTCAGATAGAGTTACAAGCTGGGTAGATGCGGGGAATGCCGTGGATGTAGCGTACCTGGATTTCAGTAAGGCCTTCGACAAGGTCCCCCATGACCTTCTGGCAAGGAAACTAGTCCAATGTGGGCTAGGCAAAACTACGGTGAGGTGGATCTGTAATTGGTTAAGTGGACGAACACAGAGAGTTCTCACTAATGCTTCCTCTTCATCTTGGAAAGAAGTGACAAGTGGAGTGCCGCAGGGTTCCGTCCTGGGCCCGGTCCTGTTCAACATCTTTATTAATGACTTAGATGAAGGGCTAGAAGGCATGATCGTCAAGTTTGCAGACGACACCAAATTGGGAGGGATAGCCAATAGTCCAGAGGACAGGAGCAGAATTCAAAACGATCTTGACAGATTAGAGAGATGGGCCAAAACTAACAAAATGAAGTTCAACAGTGACAAATGCAAGATACTCCACTTTGGCAGAAAAAGTGAAATGCAAAGATACAGAATGGGGGACGCCTGGCTCGAGAGCAGTACGTGTGAAAAAGACCTTGGAGTCCTCGTGGACAACAAGTTAAACATGAGCCAACAATGTGATGTGGCGGCAAAAAAAGCCAATGGGATTTTGGCCTGCATCAATAGGAGCATAGTATCTAGATCTAAGGAAGTAATGCTACCCCTCTATTCTGCTTTGGTTAGACCACATCTGGAATATTGTGTCCAATTCTGGGCACCACAATTCAAGAGAGATATTGACAAGCTGGAATGTGTCCAGAGGAGGGCGACTAAAATGATCAAGGGTCTGGAGAACAAGCCCTATGAGGAGCGGCTTAAGGTACTGGGCATGTTTAGCCTGAAGAAGAGAAGGCTGAGAGGAGATATGATAGCCATGTATAAATATGTGAGAGAAGCCACAGGGAGGAGGGAGCAAGCTTGTTTTCTGCTTCCCTGGAGACTAGGACGCGGAACAATGGCTTCAAACTACAAGAGAGGAGATTCCATCTGAACATGAGGAAGAACTTCCTGACTGTGAGAGCGTTCAGCAGTGGAACTCTCTGCCCCGGTGTGTGGAGGCTCCTTCTTTGGAAGCTTTTAAACAGAGGCTGGATGGCCATCTGTCAGGGGTGATTTGAATGCAATATTCCTGCTTCTTGGCAGGGGGTTGGACTGGATGGCCCATGAGGTCTCTTCCAACTCTTTGATTCTATGATTCTATGATTCTATGGGGCAGAGAGCAGGGCCTCCTGTGATGACCATGGTGTCTGAGTTGGTCAATCTAGTAACTCATCATATCATAGGGCACTTCGTATCAGTGGCCTAAGTAATTCTGTTGTTTCTGTCTGCCTGCCTGCCTGCCTGCCTGCCTGCCTGCCTGCCTGCCTGTCTGTCTGTCTGTCTGTCTGTCTGTCTATCTATCTATCTATCTATCTATCTGAAACAGTTTCCATCCCTGGAGGTTCGACAGAGGGAACAGAATGAAGCCATTGAACTTGATTGCTGAGATTGTTATCTGTTATGGTTGTTAGGACAAACATTTAGGAGATTACCTCTCTGAATGGATCTCTCCCTATGAACCATCTCAGAGCTTAAGATCATCTGGGGAGGCCCTGCTCTCGGTCCCACCTGCCTCACAGGCTCTATTGGCAGAGACAAGAGACAGGGCCTTCTCAGTGGTGGCACCTCAGCTGTGGAACTCCCTCCCCATGGATATTGGACAACCCCCTCCATCCTGACCTTCCACAAGAGAGTGAAAACATAGCTTTGTGACCAATTCTTTAGAGAACTTGTGCAATAGATAGACTTGGAACAATGTACAATGACTATTTGAACGGCCCAGATTATGCCAGTGGATTACATGTTTAACTCTGAATGTATTGTTATTAAATGTTTTAATTGTTTTAATGTACTTTTAAATTCTATTTTAATATTTATTTAAGTGTACATTGTGTTGTAAAGCATCAAATCGTAAAAATGCCTTAAGTCCCCTCCAGGGCGAGAAAACTGAGGTAAAAATATCATAAACAAGCAAACAAACTTCTATTAGGAGGAACATCTCCTTCATAAGTTAATAGAATCCACTATCAAAGAGAGAAATGAAAATTGGGGCTCAGGTGCTTCACTGATAGGACAGCATTAGCCCCCTTTTTGTGAAGGCAGCAAGTACAGTGCCTTGACCTCAAAATTAATGAATATTTGATCACAAAATATGCATACAGTTTGGGATGAGAATGTACCTGAGAACTCTTTTTTTCAGACAGCATAATTTTTACTTTGAGAATGTTGATGATTTTGATATATTTTATACTACATTACAGCTCTTGTTTTTATAGCCATTCAAATTTCTAGCTGAAATTCGTATTGTGTGTCTATTAGGTATGTCTATTATGCAGGGTGTTTAAACTTCACAAGCATAGTGTCATAGGTTTTCTATGAAGTTTTTCTATGCCCAATTTGTTCAGAATCATGGTAAATTTAGCTTATGTTTGAGGAACCTTTGGGACCTGTATAATTACATTTCAATTAATATTTACTTATTCCATGTGTACACACGTATGCACACATGCAGAGTTCTCATATGAAGTACAGACAATTCTCCTTATTTTCATTTTGTAGGAACTTGGTTTAGTCATTTCCGGAACTTTGCCTGTCTTCAATTTGACAGTAGACCAAAACAACAAACAGGTACGTCAACATTTAACACTGGAAAGAAGTAGTCAGCTTATTGAGAAGCCAAGCAAGTTGAATAATTTGGATTTGAACCAGATCAGTCCTTTAACAGGACCAGATGTTCTCAGATACAACAATGAGAGACTTGGAATAGTACAAGTATGCAAATCGACTTCAAATTTACTCTAGTTTTATACTTGCAAAGGTTTTGTGAAATTTGCTAGAAAATACAGTTGTTATATATTACATTAGTTTATTTTTTGTTTTGATCTTTTATGGATTATGGGTCTTCAACTGGGAATAAAGAATTGTGAAGAATTATGTTATGAAGAATTATGTTCGAAGTACTAAATATAATAATAATAATAACAAAACTTTAATTATATACTGCTCTATCTCCCCTAGGGGACTCAGGGTGGTTTCCACATAAACAAAATAGACAGACACATACACAATAAGCAAAACATAGGCATAAATATTTATCAACACACGCATATATATTAAAACCAATCCCTCATTATTCTTTCGTACAAATGAGTTATCAGGGGCCAAAATTCTGGAAATTGCCTAGGCAATTTCAGAGGGTTAGGCCAGATTAGTGCAAAGAAAAAACATGGGGACCAGGGGGAATGGGTAAAGTGCAATGGCCAGGTCCCAGCAGTGGCCATAATAGGGGCCTGGGGCTACTCATTTTCAGAGTCTATTTAGAGGACTGTAAAAAAAGTCTTGACCAGGGCAAATACCCCGGAATGATGGAGGTCTGGGGTAATGAGGTGGTGGACGGAGTACAAGGCCAAGTTCTAACTACTGCCCAGGGGTTGCGACTAATAAGTAGTCATTCTCAAAGGCCTGATGAAACCACCAAGTCTTTAAGTTCTAACAAAAAAGAGGAAAGTGATGGCCCTCTCTCTTGTCCCTGTACTGGAGATGAAGGTGGAAGCGAGAGAAGGGCCTCCCTGGTGGATCTTAGAGTTTGCACCTGTTCGTAGAACAAGATGTGATCACGGAGATAGGCGGGGCCCGAACCATTTAGGACTTTATAGGTCATAACCTGCATCTTCCAAGAGGAAGGCATGTCAAGCCAAGTCTTATCAGGACCTGGAAACCTGGAAACCTGTCCTCACTGTAGAAGAATATGCAGGTCAAGACTAGAGCTCTACATCCACCGCCAAGACACTACACCTGGAAGGCCATCATACATGGACAACAAGGGAGTGCCTAAGTAAGTATTGGGTGCAGCCTTGTATGTGCAGCCCTGTATTGTTCAGCTCTGTATTATTATGTGCAACCCTGTATTATTATGTCAACTCTTGGCATTTCAGACAAGAGTCTTTCAAAATCTTACCTGGAGTTGTGGGAATGGGCAAAATGTGGGCTATTTGCTTGTAAGGCACATACACCTATTTCCCAAGGCTCAACAAAAGCAAGATGGATACAATTTAGGAAATCCGGATTTCAGGATTTTCTAGTTGCCCCTCAAAAAAGGTATGTACAGAAGACAGGAATTATTACTCCTTAAAACTGAGGCACATTTACTGAGGTATTCTCAAAATGTCCAGAAAATGAAAATATACAAATACAGACTTGGCTTGACATGCCTTCCTCTTGGCACATTTCTCCCCTTTGCCTCTTCAAATTCCACAGTAGTGCGGATCACAGCTGACCTCCATCTAGAGTCTTCAAGGGCCAGGACTTCCCAGTTCTTGGTGTCTATGCCATAGTTTTTAAGGTTAGCTTTAAGCCCATCTTTAAATCTCTTTTCCTGTCCACCAACATTCAATTTTCCATTCTTGAGTTGGGAGTATAGTAACTGCTTTGGAAGACGGTGATCCAGCATTCGGACAGCTTGGTCAGTCCAGCGGAGTTGATGGTGTAGAAGCATCACTTCAGTGCTGGTGGTCTTTGCTTCTTCCAGCACACTGACATTTGCCCACCTGTCTTCCCAAGAGATTTGCATGGTTTTTCGGAGGCAACACTGATGGAGTCATTCCAGGATTGAGTGTGATGTCTGTAAACAGTCCATGTTTCGCAGGTGTATAACAGAGTTGTGAGGACAATAGCTTTATAAACACCCAATAATATAGGGCTACACATAATTTCCCCAGAAGGGGAAACCCAGCTGCCACCCATTGTAAAACAACTGCTGAGCTACAGGAACTGTGCATTGTTTTCTGATTCTAGGGACCTTTTCAAATCACACATGGACAAGTATTCATTGGCAGTTGTTGTTGTTGTTGTTGTTGTTGTTATTGATTTGGTCCCTTAGTTCTGAGGGAGAAAGTACAACAATCCAGTTTCAGTTTATTCTGACAGAGTTCCTCTGTAGTTCTTAGAGAATTTTTGATAGTTTTGTGTGAGCCGATATATAAATTCTCTTTCTTACACAGTAATAGATATAGAAGCTGTAAGAGGGGGACCGTTTGAGGCCTTGGAAGCTGATTTAACAAGTTAGGGAAGGAGAGGCTTGAATGTATGGGATTTGTAGTGTCGTTTTAGGCAACTCACAGCAAACAAACAAAATAACAAACAGCTTTGCTCTTTTTGCCTTGGAAGCTGATTTCACTACTTTAGGAAGGAGAGTTTGTGTTCAAAGAGTGGCTTGAATTGATGGGAGATCTAGTTCTTTTCAGGCAAAGTGCAACACAAACTAAAAAACACACTGAGGCCAGAGAGACCAGCTACAACGTTGACTTTTTAAAATGTTGGAGTGCTTTGGTTCCTCTGTGTTGTTCCTTCCACCCACGCCACTCACCCACACACTACCCTTGTGGTGTCTACCCATCCCAAACCCCAACAACAACAATACACAAGCAGCAGCCCATCCAGCCAGGCAGAGAGGCAGCCAGGCACAGCAGGTAACAGCCCTTCTCCCAGCTCTTCTTCCTTTCTGCTTGCTTGCTTGCCCACCATGCTCTTCTTCCAACCTCCCTTCAAAACAACCTGTCTTTGTCTTTGTCTTCTTCCTTTTCCCTTCTCTACTCTGAATGAGCCTCTGAGCCATGTGCTCCCCTTTATATACAGCAATGGCTGCCAGTGCCGAAACCCCTCCCCTCCCCAAAACTTCTCCCCGATTGGCTGGGAGGCAAGGAGCCTCCCAGCCTCCCAGCAGGCTAGAAGGCTGAAAATACATTGAATCATTTCCAACTCACTTCCTGAGTTGTTACAAAAATGGCGGAAAAGCTTTGGAAGGGCAAAGAGACTTCCGGGTTTTTAAAATGCTTTGAAATCACTACAAAAAGGTTACTTTAACAAAATTATTACCAGTAACGAATTATCTGATGCAGCTCTATCCATGCCTAGTAGACATATAAGATTATATGAATAGATGGTAGTTCTCATTACCTTACAGTATTCTTGTCTCCATGCATTTCTATGTTAGTGGATGGGTCAATGTGTGTGTATTTAAGATTTCAGAAAAGATTTCAGAAAAGAAAAATATTTGCATACCACTTTTTTACCTTATGAGAAATTGTTCATACTAACATGAGTTTATTTGCAAATTTACGTACAATTATTGTATGGCTACATGAAGATATTCCTCCTGTATTTGTAAAGGGGAACTTTAACTTCACCCATTACATTTCTACTAAAATAACTATTTATCCTTCTGGAAAACTAACATCCAGTTCTTTCCTCCCTAGAACCAACTCATACTTGGAGTAATGGGAGTTGATGTATCACTAGAAGAAATTAAAAAGCTGACTCCTCGATTTACAGTAAGTTTCTTTCTCTACATATTACCGTATTGTCTACTTTTAACTTTTACTAACACTTGAAATCTGTTTAAGTACTTCTTCCAGTCTATCTACCACTCCTCTGGCTAGAAGATAAAAGATTGTCCTTCATTCATTTTGTCATTTCCCCTATTTCCTCCTTGCCCTGGTGATAGTTCAGGAGATCTCTAATTTCCTATAAGATAATATAGAGTGCTTTCCATGAATTGTCTTAAGTGCTGTAGTTGACATATGAAAACACAAGACCGAGGAGTTCAGATAGGCTTATCACCCTCTATGCACTGCCAAAACACCATGTGCTGAACAATATACGCATATATCAGGTTAGCTATGCACAAAGTGTAATTCATCTAATCAGATATGCTATCTGGACACTGATTGATGCAAGATTACTCAACCATATTCTCCGTAATTAAATCCATAATATAAAAACAGAATTTTCTCCCTTATAATATGTCAGTGCTCTCTGTTTTCTAACAAACACTACAATTTCTGTTTGAGTTTCCATATATTATAGTTAGTATTTTTGGAAAAAAGTGTTCATGATCTTTTAACACTATTATAGTGAAAAAGACAATTAATTTACATTTATTTTGTGCTCTACAGTTATGTCCGAATGGTTATTATTTTGCAATTGACCCCAATGGTTACGTGTTGCTTCACCCAAATCTTCAACCAAAGGTATGTCACATCTTAATTGCAGCTTATGTGAATAAGAAGAAACCATATGAGGTCTATCTTTTAGAATTAAATAATTGCATTTCTAATAAACATGCACTTAGTTCATATCACATATGTTATATGATTTACTAACTATGAAATAAGATGGTCCATAGTCAATATATAAATTCATCTAGGAGGACATGGACTGGAAACTACTACATGGAAGAATGTAATACTTGCAAGTTCTTGGGATGTTTAATTGGAAAATTAGTAATAGTAGTAATTAATCCTTTGAAGACATCATCTGTATCAATAAAATCTTTCTTTACAAGCTTATTAAACAGTTTCTATAACAGCAGTGAAGCCAACAAATGTAAGAAGTTTTCGTTTTCTGATTTTATGTGCTATGTTGTCTGGTTGATACTGACATGATAAATAAATAAAAATAAATAAATGTGCTATGTTATACATCCAAATCTTGGTGACAAAATCTATGTGGTAGCAGTTTTGTTAACCTTAAAAATGAGTATACGATGGACTAAATTAATTCATACTAAACAGTAGCACAATAGTGTGTGTTTGGGTGTGTCCGTGCACACCTGCGATAAGTGAGGGAACACTTTGGGTGTGTCCATGCTTGGCTTAAGGAAACCTCATGAATATTATACTCTGAGGCAGTGAATCCTCAGAGGTGATTTTGCCAGTTCCTTCTTCTGAAATATCACCACATCTCTTAGTATTCATTGGCAGTTTCCTATCCAAGTCCCTGAGCTGACCCTCCTTAGCTTCCAAACTCAGAGAGGATCTGGTGTCTTTAGGGCAGGCATTCCAAATATTTGCTTATTCCAGAATCGCTGTTTTGTGGGTTTTTCCTCCCCCCTCCCCGTGTGGGGAGGGAGGAGGAGGAAGAGGATGAGGAGGAGCCAGGTGCTGGGTCTTACCCTGGGACTTGTCTCTGGGCTGAGCCTCGGCATGGCCCCTTTGGCAGCAGCCTCCTCCTCCTCCTCCTCCTCCTCCTCAGTGCTTCCGCTGCTCCCTGCTCCTTCCTTGAAGGCCCCTTGGAAGATTCAAGCCACAGCAGGCTTGAGCAAGGGAAGTCTTCAGAGGGCTCCTTTCCTTTTCCTCTTCAAGGCTGAGCCTATAGCTATCTACCTGCGTGCCTAGCTGCCACTCTCTTTCTCTGTGTGTGTTCCTCTCTGCCTTCCCTCCTGAAGCACCATCTCCCTCCTCCTGGTCGCACATGGGGCCAGCTCAGAGACAGAGAGAGAGATTGAGATTTTGAGTGGGGAAGAAGGGATTTCCACCTGGTTTTCCTCGGGGGCCATGGTGACTCTGGTGCTGGGTTGGCAGAGCAGTGCCTGCGGGCGAGTGGCATCAGCAGCTTTTGCTGCCTGAACAAGGTTGCCTTCTCTGCCTGGGTGTTCTCTGCCTGGGTATCGCTCTCCAGCTCCACAGCGAGGACAGGTGAGTTCCCCAACTTGAAATCACAGGAAATAGACCCACATGAGTCTAGCAGGCGGAGGCACCGGGTGGGCAAATGTTGGAAAGGCTTTTTGGAGCCTCTGGGGAAAGAGTGTGTGAGAGAGGGGGGAGGGGGAGAGGAATGGGCAGAGCATCCCTACTTCATGGATTTTCACTTATTGCAAGTAGTCCTGGAACGTAACACCCACGATAAGTGAGGGAACACTGTACAACAGCAATATGTTTTTTTGTGAAAAATTTCAGGGGAAAATGTCCTGGGTGCATGAAGGAAGATGTTCTCTTTTTTAAGTAGAGTGCCTCAAAAGTGATCTTTTGTCATTGTTCTGTGCCTTCAAGTCATTTCCAATTTGTTGAGACTCTAAGGGCACTTCCAGACAGCAGCAAATCAGGGGTTTTAATCAGAGGCAAAAAATCCTGTGACTTCGGAAGAGGTCCACATATAGACCTGTTGGTCCACGGATTTCTGCTTCTATTGTCCACACTTGCTGCTTTGTTGCAGGATTTAGAGGCTCCCGATATGGCCGCCATGGGACTTCCACTGAAAATTTTGGTGGGTTTTTTAAAAAAATAACTTAAGATGTGAACATGTGGAGATGTGAATCTTTCTATAAATTCCTTCCTGGATTATATAAGCTGCAGGGTCATCTGTGCAAACAGGGTATTGTTCCTGGATTATACATGTCTGTTCCTGATTGCTCTGGTTGTGAAAAGATGTGCAATGTTGACTAGGGGGCAACAACTTTGTCCAGGCCAGAGAAAATGTGGTCTCCCCACATTTCATGAAGTTTTTGACACACAAACAAATGTTCATTCTACCCAATTGTTACCTTCTTTTTGGAACCAACCAATCAGGAACAAACATTTAAACCCAGGAACAAACCTACATTTTAAAAATATACCATGATTTCGAAGATGCAGATTTTTGGTTCAGAACTGGGATATTCCCGCACCTGAAAATCTTGCGTTTTTGCTGTTTGCAACAATTGATTCCACGTTTACAGGGAACGGTTTCTGGCCGCCCTCCTGTTTACTGTGGAAGCTCCTGGGCTAAAGGTACTCCTGGATCGGCCCTAAGACAATTCTACCCTGTTATTTTCTTAGCATGATATGTTTGGAGAAGAAAGAGAAAGTCTAGCCTGAAAGTCATTTGACTTTTCTTCCAACCAGAAGCTCTATCCTACCATTTTTATGAGGGACAAAGACTCCAATCAGTGGAGAAGGCAAAAAAAAATTGTAGATGCTCGTTGTGGCAATTCTGGCAATTGTAGTCCCCAATAGCACATCTTTGGGCTCTGGCATTGGAGCAGCTTTTGAGAGTGTGGTGTAGCTGTGTCAATCATCTACCCCCAAAATATTTCAGGAAGTTCCCCCTTTCAACAAGGACTGCTTTCCTTTAATCCATTGCCCTTCTTTTTTTCTCCACTGGTACAGATTGAAGACTTCAATGATTTGGGGGGAGGGGGAGCAAATCTTCTTTAAGTGACAGAACAATTTACGATGCTGAAGTGTTATTAGTGAAACAGCATTTTGGATAGCTCCTTCAAACTTTGAATTGAAGCCCTTTGCTTTGTTTTTGGAACTATAGTTATTTGTTTTAAATACACATAAACAAAACATCGACATATCTCTGGTTGTACTGGTCCATTTAGTTTTCTTGGCAAGGATACTGGAGTGGTTTGCCATTGCCTTCCCCAGGGATCACGCTTGGTCTGACCTCTCTGCCACAACCGTCCCGTCTTGGGTGGCCCTTCACGGTTTCGCTCATGACATCATTGAGGTGCTCAAGCTCCAGCGCCCCGACAAGGCGGTGATCCTTTGCTGGAGCAGCCAAAGGTGCTCCTTTGCAGCCAAAGGTGGCGGACATCCATCCAGTCGGTGAAAACAAGACCTGGGGCTGACTGTAGCTCAGATCACGAACTTCTTATTGCCCAATTTAGAATAAAACTAAAGAGATCAGGGAAAATACACAGACCAGTTAGATATGATCTCACTAACATTCCTAGCGAATATACAGTGGAAGTGAAGAACAGATTTGAAGGACTAGATTTAGTAAACAGAGTCCCAGAAGAACTATGGACAGAAGTCCGAGACATTGTTCAGGAGGCGGCAACAAAGTACGTCCCAAAGAAAAAGAAACCAAGAAGGCAAAATGGTTGTCTGCTGAGACACTGGAAGTAGCCCAAGAAAGGAGGAAAGCAAAAGGAAACAGGGATAAGGGGAGATATGCCCAGTTAAATGCGCAATTCCAGAGGTTAGCCAGAAGAGATAAGGAACTATTTTTAAATAAGCAATGCATGGAAGTAGTGGAAGAAGACAACAGAATAGGAAGGACAAGAGACCTCTTCCATAAAATTAGAAACATTGGAGGTAAATTTCAGGCAAAAATTGGTATGATAAGAAACAAAGATGGCAGGGACCTAACAGAAGCTGAAGAGATCAAGAGAAGGTGGCGAGACTATACAGAAGATCTGTATAGGAAGGATAATAATATCGAGGATAGTTTTGACGGTGTGGTGAATGAATTAGAACCAGACATCCTGAGGAGTGAGGTTGAATGGGCCTTAAGAAGCATTGCTAACAACAAGGCAGCAGGAGACGACGGGATCCCAGCTGAACTGTTTAAAATCTTAAAAGATGATGCTGTCAAGGTGATGCATGCCATTTGCCAGCAAATATGGAAAACACAAGAATGGCCATCAGACTGGAAAAAATCAACTTATATCCCCATACCAAAAAAGGCAAATGCGAAAGACTGCTCAAACTTCCGTACAGTGGCCCTTATTTCTCATGCCAGTAAGGTAATGCTCAAGATCCTGCAAGGAAGACTCCAGCAATACATGGAGCGAGAGTTGCCAGATGTTCAAGCTGGGTTTAGAAAAGGTAGAGGAACGAGAGACCAAATTGCCAATAGCCGCTGGATAATGGAGAAAGGCAGGGAGTTTCAGAAAAACATCTACTTCTGCTTCATTGACTATTCTAAAGCCTTTGACTGTGTGGATCATAATAAATTGTGGCAAGTTCTTAGTGGGATGGGCATCCCAAGCCACCTTGTCTCTCTCCTGAGGAATCTGTACAAGGACAAAGTAGCAACAGTCAGAACTGACCATGGAACAACAGACTGGTTCAAGATTGGGAAAGGCGTACGGCAATGCTGCATCCTCTCACCCAACCTTTTTAACTTGTATGCAGAACACATCATGCGATGTGCGGGGCTGGATGAATGCAAAGCTGGGGTGAAAATTGCTGGAAGAAACATTAACAACCTCAGATATGCAGATGAAACCACTCTGATGGCCGAAAGCGAGGAGGAGCTGAGGAGCCTTCTAATCAAGGTGAAAGAAGAAAGCGCAAAAGCCGGGTTGCAGCTAAACGTCAAAAAAACCAAGATTATGGCAACAAGAATGATTGACAACTGGAAAATAGAGGGAGAAACCGTGGAGGCCTTGACAGACTTTGTATTTCTAGGTGCAAAGATTACTGCAGATGCAGACTGTAGCCAGGAAATCAGAAGACGCTTACTTCTTGGGAGGAGAGC